ATCAACAGTTTCTGTGTTTTTTTGGGTGACTCTTTGATTTCATGGAAATCCAAGAAACAACCTAATGTTTCTTGTTTGTCTGCTGAGGCTGAATATCGTGCTTTGGCTGGTGTGACTAGTGAGCTATTATGGATTCAACAGTTACTCTTTGATTTATGTGTTTCTTTTTCTCCACCACTAGTTGTCTACCGTGACAATTAGGTCGCCGTGTCCATTACCTCTAATCCTACATTCCACGAACGTACCAAGCACATCAGGATCAATTGCCATTTTGTTCGTGATAAAATCACTGATGGTTTCATAAAGCTACTACCTATTCGGTCTAGTCTTCAGCTTGCGACATGTTTACTAAAGCTTGCCTTCTACTACACTTCATTTTCTTATGTCCAAGATGGGTGTTTTTTACATTTACAGTCCATCTTGAGGGGCTAGTATTAGAGTTATCCATATTTTGTATCTTAACTACTTATAGTTAGGAAGTTTGTTATTAACAAATTCATATTGATTTGTATTTATATGTGACATCGATCACTGCAGAAATATTGAAGAGAATTAATTTTTCAATTATATAATTCTTCTCTCTATTTTACACGTATTAGCTTCTGGGATATTCTTATGCTTGTTGATTGAAGCTTGAATGTTGTTACTTAGTTGTTTGTGAACTGATTGGTTGCAAACAATATGGTATCAGAGCTTTGGTTTTCATACTTCTTTCGTTTACGGTGGTTTCATCTCTATTTATGATGGCAACGAAATTTGAGGTAAAACGAATTGATAGCAAAGGTGATTTCGATATGTGGAAGAAGAAAATGAGGGTACTCTTAGTCCAACAAATGGTTTCAAAGGTCCTTGATGAAAGTCACTAATGTGAAGATAGTTTATCACCTTATGAAATCTTTGAACGAAAGGAAATTGTATTAAGTACAATTATACTCTACCTGGTTGATAATATCCTACGCCAAGTTCATGAAGGAAAGACAACTCGGAATGTATGAAAACAATTAGATTCTATTTATCTTACCAAGTCACTTACAAATAAGCTGAACATAAAGGAAAAATTATTTGGATTCAAAATGGGTCTAAAGATTTAGACAGAACCTTGATGAGTTTAATCGAATTGTAATACGCCTTAGTGATATTGATATGAAATGATGTCATATAAAAACAAAGTTATCATTCTCTTGAATTCACTTCCCGACTCTTTCAACGATGTTAAATTGACCATAAAGTATAGGAGAGATAGCTTAACCTTAGACATCGTGTTAAATGAACTAAGAACAAGAGGCCTTGAGATGAAAAAGAATAAAATTAAAGATTATGAAGCATTGATGGTTAGAGATCGTACGAATAAGAAATTTGGCAAGAATAGTAATCGTGCAAGGTCAGAATCTCAAGGGAGAGTTAAGAAACGTTTTTACAGTCGTAAAGAAGGGCAGATAAGGAAAAATTTGCTATGAACTTAAGAACAAAAGAAGAAATGAATCTAAGAAGGAAGAAGAGTCACACAATTTAAATGTAAGTGAAAATTATGAGACTGCTGGAGTTCTTATGGGTTCTTATGGCAATTTTGAGTTTGAATGGATATTAGATTCCTGTGCTCATTTCATATGACTCATTAAAAGTAAAGTCTTCTTGGAAAATCATCCATACGCTCACTAGATATTAGTGGTATTGTATATATGGAAAGAGTACCAGAGTATTTGTTGACGGAGAAATTTCAACTAATCACTAAATGCCACATCACAAATTAAAATTATATTTAGGACCAATCACAAATTTACACGTGTGCTAAATTAATTTTTAAATCAAGAAATCAAATTGTACAACGTGTCTCTCCTATGGTTGTCCAGATGAAATCAACTAATTGGATCAAAACCCATCAAGAGACTGGGCCCAAGCCCATGACCCATAAAAGACCCACCAAGACTCTATAAATAGAGGTGTCACCCTCATTTAATGGGGGAACAAGAAGACAGAAGAAAGAAGAAGAGCTAGAAGAAAGGGAAATTCAGAAGAAGAAAGAAGAGAGGAGAAGAAGGGTTGGAAGAGATCCAAAAGAACTGGAGATTCAGAGCACTAAGAATCATCTACAATCATCCAGAGTCAAGCGAAACATCCAAAGCCAACAAGACGTGACGAATTCAAGACCCGAAGAGTTCGAGACTTCAAGAACATTGAATCTTCTCTCCCCAAGCAACATTACTTGAAGAATTCATCAAACTACAAAGTCCTCATCAAATTGGCAGAAGAACTTCAACAAGCTGCAAAGCCGAAAAACTTCACAAGCTACAAAGCCAAAGCACTTCACAATCTGCATAGCCGAAGAACTTCACAAGCTGCAAAGCCGAAGAACTTCAACAAGCTGCAAAGCCGAATAACTTCACAAGTTGTGAAGCCGAATAACTTCAACAAGCTACAAAGCCGAAAAATTTCACCAGCTGCAAAACCGAAGCACTTTACAAGCTACAAAGCCGAAGAACTCCACGAGTGGCAAAGCCGAAGAACTCCAACAAGTTGCAAAACCAAAGAACTTCACAAGCTGCGAAGGCGAAGAACTTTACCAGCTGCAAAGCTGAAGCATTTCACAAGCTACAAAGCCGAAGAACTCCATGAGCGCAAAGCCAAAGACTTCAAAGACTCTTCAATAAGCTCAAAGCCGAAGACTTCACAAAACCTTCGTCAAGCTACAAGCCACATAACTTTATCAACAAGTCAAAGTCTTCAACAAGCTCGAAGTCGAAGACTTCAAAGATCCTTCGTCATGTAAGAAATTGAAGGCATCAACCATTGATTCAAGAACAAGTTCACAAGCCCTTGAGAGGATTATACATTAGAGATTGTAACACCCACATACATAAATACAGATACAAGTTCATAAATTCGAGTTTTCTCTTATTGAATTTCTCGTCGAACAGTATCCTTTGGAAAAAGGTCACCATTTATCAAAAAGGAGTTCTTGACTATGTTCATGCAGATTTATGAGGACCAGAGAAAAATCCAACTATAGGAGGAGCAAGGTATTTTCTTTTAGTTATTGATGATTACTCTCGAAGAGTATAGACCTATTTCTATAATCCCAAAGATGAAATTTTTAAGTTTGTGGAATGAAAAATTTTGGTTGAAAAAAAAAACTTTTAAGGGAGGTGAAATCTTAAAGAACTGATAATGGGTTGGAGTTTCTCAGCATGGAATTCAAATAATTTTGTAATAAGGAAGGGATACGAAGGAATTTGACAATAAAGGGAACGCCACAGCAGAATGGGCTTCATCGAAAAAAATGAATAGAAACTTCATAAAAAGAGTAAGATACCTAATGTCCAATGCCAACCTGCCAAATATTTTTTGGGGTGAGGCTTTGATGACAGCAACTTAACTTGTGAATTGGAGTCCATCAATAGCTATTGAACTTAAAAGTCCAATTGAAAGGTGGTCAAATCATCACCCTCCTTATTTGAGTCATTTAAGAGGGTTTGGATGTACTGCATATGCACATAGTAATGAAGGAAAACTTGATCATAGAGCAAAAATTGTTTGTTTCTTAGATACCCATAAGGAATAAAAGGTTATAGACTATGGTGCATTGAAAAAGGTGAAGAAAATGCTTGATAATTCGACATGTGTAACCTTTGATGAAGCAAAAATAGCTTATGAAACTTCAAGTGCAGACCTAGAAGTTGATGACAATAATGGAAACACTCTTGAACTAGAGCTTGGATTGCCAAAATCTACTAGTGAGAACCAAACTCAATGAAACAAGAATTCTATTTTAACACACAACCACGACAACAAACCAATGAAGAAATAATATTATTCAGAAAAACAAAGGGTTTTAGAAAGCCTGTGTATGGGTTGAGGTGTGTTGGCGAACACTGTCCTTAGAGAAGATGTGCCCCCACCTGCACTGAGTTGTTTGGCACTTCACTCCTAAGATACAACACTCTTCAAGAGACCTTGTGTGCAACTAAGCTCTCTCACGAATCTCACCCAACTTGTATGCTCATAAAAGACAAAGGGAAGGTTTTGGAGAAAATATGTGAAGCTTGTGTTTACTTTTCCTCTACAACCTTCTTATACAACAATTGAATAAACTAAAAATAGGTTTTCTAATTTAAAACTTAAGAACTTTTCTAACTCACTCCTAGAGACCAAATCTAATTTTCTATTAAAAGAATAATCAATTAGTTAGAAAATCTTTTAATTTTTCAATTTAATCAAGAGATAAATGCAAAGTGAGAATTCAACCTCTGAAATTCAGCCTGAAGTATCTCTTTCATTACAGAACTATCATCTTACTCATAATAGGGAAAGGAGATAAACAAGGCCACCACCTAGGTATGCAAGTGCATACATTGTTCACTATGCATTGGATGTTGAAATGGAAAGTGCAGACATTGAACCAATGTCATTTACAGAAGCAATGAGTTCCATTGATTCAGATAAGTAGAAATTAGCCAGGGAAGAAGAAATTGAATAACTTTATAAAAATAACACTTGGGAACTAGTAGGAAGGCCTCCAAAGAAAAAATTGATTGGGTGCAAATGGATTTACAAATTAAAACAAAATGTACACCCATCTCAACCAATTTGTTACAAAGCTAGACTAGTGACAATGTTGGAAATTAAACATGTATTATTCTAGATACATTATGCATATGCATTCCTAGGTACATGAACTAGTACATTCATGTATTTAGTTTTAAGATGAGTTAATGGTGTTCATGTATATATACGTTCATAGGATGTTTATGGATCTAGATTCTTCCATGGAGTCCTATAAATAGGATGTTCATTTGTTGTATTTCAAGCAAGTGTGTGGAGAAAAAAAACAAGAGAGTTTGAGAGAGTTTGTGAACCAAGTGTGTATTTTGTGAGAAATTTCAATACAAGAAAGTTGTTTATTCTCAAACAAGTCTTGTTGATCCTAATTTAGCAAGTGTCCATCACACGCTTCCAACAAAGTGGTATTAGAGCTTGAGTTTGAAAAGAGTTCTTTTTTGCAAATGGTAAACAAGAATTTGGTTCATTTCCAAGTGCCTCGTCTTACCAAAGAAAATTATGGCAGTTGGTGTATTCGTATGAAGGCTTTACTTGGTTCACAAGATGCATGGGAGATTGTTGATAGAGGCTATGAAGAACCGGCAGAGGATGTGATTTTGAATCAAGCTCAACGAGAAACTTTGCAAAATACCAGAAAGAAAGACCAAAAGGCTCTCACAATTATTCATCAAACCATTGATGATACAAATTTTGAGAAGATTTCTGGAGCAACCACCGCAATGCAAGCATGGCAAATTTTGGAGAATACTTATAAAGGAGTTGATCGGGTCAAGAAAGTCCGACTTAAAAAATTGAGAGGTGATTATGAAGCATTGCATATGAAGGAGTCTGAATCAATTTCATATTACACTTCAAGGTTGCTTGCCGTGGTAAATGAAATGAAGAGGTATAGTGAGACGATAAATGATGAGCAAGTAGTTGAAAAGATACTTCGCTCATTGGATGAAAAATTTAATTTCATCGTTGTAGCAATTGAAGAATCAAAGGATTTGAGTACATTGTCCGTTGATCAACTTATGGGTACTTTGCAAGCCCATGAAGAGAAGCTTTTCAAGAAGAGCAAACAGGCAACCGAACAACTCTTTCAATCAAAGTTGCAGTTGAATGATAAAGAAGATAGCCAAGAAAGAGGTTATCGAGGTCATGGTCGTGGTCGTGTAGAAGTCGTGGACGTGGTGACTTCAGAGGTCGTGGACGAGGAAACTTTGGTCAAAGAAAGTTTGATGGGAGTAATTTCAACTCCAGTTCGTCAAGAGGTCGTGGCAAACAAAATTATTCGAGGTCGTATGGAGGAAAGTCAAATGATGATAGAAGGTATGACAAAAGCCGAGCTGAATGTTATAATTGTCATAAATTCGGTCATTATTCATGGGAGTGCAGAAATAAAGTAGAAGAAAATGTAAATTACGCTGAAGAAGATGTTAAAAGTAGTGAGCCATCATTGCTTTTAGCATGTAGAGATGAAGAAACATGTGAGAACAGTTTGTAGTATCTTGATAGTGGTGCAAGCAACCACATGTGCGGAAGTAAATCCATGTTCGTGGAATTGGATGAATCTATTGGTGGCAATATCATATTTGGTGATGCTACAAAAATTCCTGTAAAAGGAAAAGGTAAGATTTTGATCGATTTGAATAATGGGAAGCATGAGTTTATCTCTAATGACTATTATATGCCAAATATGAAGAACAATATTTTGAGTTTGGGACAACTCTTATAGAAAGGCTATAATATTTTAATGAAAGATTATAGTCTTTCAATATGGGATCATCGTGACAATATGATTGTTAAAGTTCGAATGACAAAGAATAAAATGTTTCCATTAAACATTCAAACTGATGTTGCAAAATGTTTGAAGTCGTGTTTGAAAGATTCATCCTGGATTTGGCACTTAAGACTTGGGCATTTGAACTTTGATGGCTTGAGATTATTAGCGAGGAAGGGCATGGTGAAAGGATTGTCATATGTCAAGCATCCAGATCAACTTTGTGAAGGATGTCTGCTTGGCAGCAATCAAGAAAGAGTTTCCACAAAAATCTTCTTTGGAAGCAAAGAGACCATTAGAGCTTGTTCACACTAATCTTTGTGGACCTATCAAGCCAAGTTATTTCGGTAAGAATAATTATTTCTTATTATTCATTGATGATTTCAGCCGAAAAAACTTGGGTTTATTTTGTCAAGGAGAAATCAGAAGTATTTGGCATGTTCAAGAGATTCAAAGTTCTTGTTGAAAAAGAAAGTGGTCTTTATATAAAAGCTTTGAGATCTGACAGGGGAGGAGAATTCACTTCGAATGAATTCAAAGATTTTTGTGCAGAAAATGGAATTCGTCGGCCTATGACAGTTCCATGGACTCCACAGCAAAATGGTGTTGTCGGGAAGAAGAATAGAACTATACTTAACATGGCTCGGAGCATGTTGAAGAGTAAGAAGATGCTAGAAGAGTTTTGGGCACAAGATGATGAATGTGTTGTTTATTTGTCCAATCGTTATCCCACTAGAAGTGTATGGAGTAAAACTCTGCAAGAAGCATGGACCGGAAGAAAGCCATGTATTTCTCATTTGAGGGTTTTTGGGAGTATTGCCTATGCCCATGTACCAGATCAGAAGCGCAGTAAGCTCGATGATATAAGTGAGAAACATATTTTTGTTGGCTACGATGCAAGTTCCAAAGACTACAAGCTTTATAATCCTACTACAGAGAAGATGGTTGTAAGCAGAGATGTCGTGTTTGATGAAGAAGCTGCATGGAATTGGTGTGATAAACCAAAAGACTACAAGTATCTATTTTTTTCCAGAAGATAATGATGAAATTGGTGATATTGCTTCTCCATCAACCCCACCTCCATCACCAGTCACGCTAGTACAAACCACGCCTTCATCATCTACATCAAGTTCAACTGAAGCGACTCATCGCATGAGAAGTTTGCGGGACATATATGATGAAACTGAAGAGTTAAATGAAGGTTTTAATGATCTAACTCTCTTTTGTCTATTTGGTGACAATGAACCTTTAAATTTTGAAGAAGTTGTACAAGATGAAAACTAGAAGACCTCAATGGATGAAGATATAAAGGCTATAAAGAAGAACGACACATGGGAGCTTTTTACTCTTCCAAGTGGAAAGAAAGCAGTAGGTGTCAAATGGGTGTACAAGACAAAGAGAAACGAAATAGGAGAAGTGGGAAGACATAAAGCAAGATTAGTTGCGAAAGGCTACTCTCAGAGAAAAGGTGTTGATTATGATGAAGTATTTGCTCCTGTTGCTCGCTTGGAGACCATAAGATTGATGATTGCACTTGCTGCTCAAAATAGATGGAAAATTTTTCAGATGGATGTCAAATCGGAAATTTTGAATGGATATCTTGAAGAAGAAGTATATTTAGAACAACCTCTTTGTTATGTGGTGAAATGACAAGAGGATAAAGTTCTAAAGTTGAAGAAGGCACTGTATGGGTAGAAACAGGCTCCAAGGATGTGGAATAGCAGAATTGACAAATATTTCCATGACAATGGGTATTTAAGATGCCCACATGAACATTCTCTTTATACAAAACTAACGATCAAGGAGATATTTTGTTGGTTTGTCTATATGTTGATGACTTGATTTTTACAGAAAATTGTCCAAACATGTTTGACGAATTTAAGAAGGTCATGATCCAGGAATTTGAGATGACAGACATTGGCCTTATGTCATATTATCTTGGCATTGAGGTGAATTAATCGGAGGAAGGAAGTTTTATCTCTCAAGAACGATACATTAGAGAAATTCTTGAGAAATTCAAGATGTTCAATTTGAAACCAGTTGCCACTCCAATTGAAACTGGAATGAAATGTTAAAATATGAAGATGGAGATGTTGTTGATCCTTCACATTTTAAAAGCTTAATTGGGAGCCTGAGATATCTGACATGCACAAGGCCTGATATTCTTTTCAGTGTTGGATTGGTGAGTCGGTTTATGGAATTTCCTATAGCTACTCATTTAAAAGTAGCAAAGAGAATCCTTCGTTATCTCAAAGGGATGCTGGATTATGGATTATTTTATTCTTCATCTGGAGCATTCAAACTTGAAGGTTATTGTGATAGTGATTGGGCTGGAGATCTCAATGATCGAAAAAGCACAAGTGGATTTGTGTTCTTTATTGGCAATACTGCTTTTACATGGAGTTCTAAAAATCAGGCTATTGTGACACTATCTACTTGTGAGGCTAAATATGTTGCTGCATCATCATGTGTGTGTCATGCAGTTTGGTTGAGGAATTTGTTGAAGGTAATTGGAATTGTGCAAGAAGATGCAACTATGGTCCATGTGTTAAGTCAGCAATTGCTCTATGATACGAGATTTCACTTCATCAGAGAATGCATTTCAAGAAAGGAGATTCAAGTTGATTATGTGAAGACTGAAGATCAAATTGCGGATATCTTCACAAAGCCACTCAAAGTTGATGTCTTTAACAAACTGAGGAATTTACTTGGAGTTATGAGGAAGACATGTTTAAGGGGGATGTTGGAAATTAAACATGTATTATTCTAGATACATTATGCATATGCATTCCTAGGTACATGATACATGTACATGAACTAGTACATTCATGTATTTAGTTTTAAGATGAGTTAATTGTGTTCATGTATGTATAGGTTCATAGGATGTTTATGGATCTAGATTCTTCCCTGGAGTCCTATAAATAGGATGTTCATTTGTTGTATTTCAAGCAAGTGTGTGGAGAAGAAAAACAAGAGAGTTTGAGAGATTTTGTGAACCAAGTGTGTATTTTGTGAGAAATTTCAATACAAGAAAAGTTGTTTATTCTCAAACAAGTCTTGTTGATCCTAAATTAGCAAGTGTCCATCACACGCTTCCAACAGACAAGTGGATTTACCCCAGAGGGAGGGGTAGATTGTCGTGAAATTTTCTCACCTATTGTAAGGCATTCGTGGATAAGAACACTTTTGGCAATGGTCTTGGAGTATGATCTTGAACTCGACCAATTGGAACTATCTACATACAGCAACTAATGGGTTTTTCATCAAAAGGAATCGAGAAAAGGTATGCCTCCTCAAAATTAAAGTCTTTTTATGGTTTAAAGCAAGCATCTGGACAATGATACTAAACATTTGATTCCTTTATGATGTCTTGTGATCTTCAAATTAGATCGTTGCATTTACTTTAAACATATGTAGAATAAGCCTTTAATTTACTTACTTTTTTTTTATATAGATGATATGTTATTGGCATCAGTTGATAAGTTAGAAATTGAGAACTTGAGAACAAAAACTTAGTGAAGTTTTTGAAACGAAGGATCTAGGACATGCTAAAAGAATTTGGAATACACAGTGAGAAACAAAAAACTTGGTGTTACAAAACTTTTCCAACATTTATACTCACTGACGATGCTTGAAAGCTTTAAAATGTTGAATTGTAAAGTTGTATCAGCACCATTAGCAAATCACTTTAAATTATCCGTGAATCAATCTCCAAAAACTGAGGTGGAGAAAGTAGATATGGAAACTATTCCATATGCTAATGCAGTAAGGAGTCTTATGTACCTTATGGTATGTACGAGATCTAATTTGGCTCGTGGATAAAGTATGGTGAGTAGATACATATCCAACCCTGTAAAAGAACATTGGAGTTTTATGAAATGGCTTATGAGATATATCTAAGGCACAGTTACACACGGTCCAATGTATCTAAAAGAAGTATTGAATAGAAAGAACATTGGACAGCCAAGTAGACTATATGGCTCTTATAGAAGCTTTTTAAGAAGCATGATGGCTATTTGAGTTGATTACTGAATTATGTGAAGACTTACATGATCAAGCTATTGTATTTGTAACAGCCAAACTGCTGCGTATTTGACAAAAAAATCAACATATCATGAAAGGACGAAACATATTGATGTTTGGTTTCATTTTATCAAAGACATGGTTGCTGAAGGAAGGTAAAACTTGAAAAGATATCTACTAAAAAGAACGCTGCTGATCCCTTTATAAAATCGCTACCCGTTAATAAACTTGAGAGTTGCTTAAAAACACTCAAAGTTGGTAGAGAGATGGTGGTAGAGTTTTTATGCTCTGTTCTTCTTTTCTTTC